AGGGAGAGAGAGGGAGAGGGAAAGAGAGGGTGAGGAAGAGAGAGGGTGAGGAAGAGAGAGAGAGAGGAAGAGAGAATAAAGGTGGAAAGGAGGAGGGGGAGGAGGGGGAGGAGGGAAGAATGGTACTCATTTTCAGGTTTGTAAAAGTCATCTTGGTGAAGGATGAATGTAGATGGGAATATGTCACGGAGTAGACGGGCCAGCGTCGTCTTTCCGCTGGAGGAGCAGCCCGATATGGCTACTACGAGGGCAGTCTCGGACATGGTTGATGAGGGGTGATTGATGCTGCTGAGCGTTGAGTGTTGGGGATGGTTGTAGTTATCTACAGGCAGTAATGATGGCAGCAGCAGCAGCAGCAGCAGCAGCAGTAGCAGTACTGCGGTGCAGCGAATTGATTACCAGCATTACCAATCACCACCGACATCAAACAAGAGGGTCAGAGTGAAGATGAAGGCTGAGAAATTCACGTAGTCCGTAGATGATGATGATACTGGATATAATTGAACGTGATAATTGGAGAATAATAACCCATGCACAACATGTAACCTGGCGCTGTTTCGCAAAAAAATAAAAATCAAGTAATACCAGGTATTGATATTAGTACACAAGGTAGCATACGTCACAGTATCCTGTCGTAGAAAAAAGTACTACTGGGAAGGGCCAGAGAAGAAGGAAAAAAAAATAAAAAAAATAAAAAAAAAAGAGATCAGCTTCTTCTCTCACAGAAAAGTACGAGTTTCCCACCCTTCCAAACTCCGCTCCCTCCCTCCGCCGCTCCCGCAACCGCACCCTTTTCCCTTCCCCTCCGACGAACGACAGAAAGAAAGGAAGAAGAAGAAGGAAAAAAAAGGAACAGGAAAGATTCAGCAGCAATGGAATGCGATCAATCGGGCATGATTGTGACCACCAGTCTGGCCACATTTGTCGGCGGCTTCATCTTCGGCATCTGGACCACCCGCGGCTATCTGATCTCCCCCTCTCTTCGGGAGGAGCGCCGCCGTAACCTTCACGACCCCATCGAGAGCGAGGAGAGCGACGTGGACGAGGAGGACGGCCCCTTGGATCACGCACCCAGCTGGAGCAACGGACCGGCGGCCGATCGGAACCAGGGTCTCAGTGCCCGGGCTCAGCAGCAGCAGCAGCAGCAGCGACAGCAGGGTCAGCAGCAGAACCCGTTTGCCAATCCCGACGAGGAGTGCAAGCTCGTCCTAGTAGTCAGGACTGATCTAGGAATGACGAAGGGTATGGGGTCTCTATTCTTATCTTGGAAAAAAAAAAGATTTCTCGATTGATTTTACACACACACACACACACACACACACACACACTCCCTCCCTCTCCCTCCCTCTCCTTCTCTCTCTCGCTCCGTCTCTCGCCCTTCCTCCCTCTCTCTGTGTCTGCCTCTCTCTCTCACACACGGAACAAACAAACTGACATGCATGTCGCAAGGCAAAATCGCTGCTCAATGCTCCCACGCCACACTGGCATGCTACAAGACCCTCAGCCGAGCCACCGCCGGCTCACCTCAGCGTGCCATCCTCTCCCGGTGGGAGAAGCAGGGCCAGGCAAAGATCGCCGTGCAGATCAAGTCCGAGGACGAGCTGCTCGAGCTGCGGAGGCTGGCGCGTAACGCCGGGCTCACGGCCGAATTCATCCAGGACGCCGGCAGGACCCAGATCGAGGCTGGGAGCATGACGGTCCTGGGCATCGGGCCGGCTCCCAAGAGTGCTGTCGACAAGATTACCGGGCATCTGAAACTTCTGTAGATCTCCTCCTTTTTCCTCTCTTCCTGACCTTCTTACTTTCGCGACACGGTGTTTTTTATATATGTTGTTTTCCAGTTTGTTGTTTTCCAGTTCTTCTTCTTGTGTCTGTTTCTCATGGGAATGACGGCGTGTCAATTGGGTTCTGTTATCATAAAAATTGGGAGGGGGGGAGAGAAATCGGATATATATAGAGTAGGGAAGACAATGAGAAGAATGAAAAAAAAAAAAAAAAAATTGTAGCTTCAACTACTACTGCTACTACTGCTACTACTACTACCTGGGAGATGCATCTTGTGTGGGTTTGGGTATATTCTTCTGTATTAAATTTTTTATTTTATTTTATTTCCCATGAATTTACTGCCTTTGTTTTTTTTTTCTTTGCCCGTTCCCTTGTTGAGAACAAATCCCAATCACTCCTTCTTGGCAAACCGCGACAAGGCAGGCCCCAGATCGTCCTGCCGCTCCTGCCTCATTTTCTTGTTCTTGTCCTGCTGCTCCTTCCAGATCTCGTCGACGCGGAGACGCTTTTCGTCGATGATGTTCTTCTTCCTCTGCTTCCTCAGGTACTTCTTGAGCGCTCCGTTCTTCCCGCGCGCCCTGTTGCGGATGTCCTCCGCCACGTCCGGGGCGGCGGCGTCGAGGTCGCGCTCGGCCTTGCGCTGCCGGTCGGAGCGCAGGTCGAGGTTGCCGACGAAGTTGGGGTCGAGGGCGATCATGTCGGGCTGGAGCTTGTTGAGCAGGCCCTTGACCTCGGACTCCTGGCGCTGCTTGGCCGTCTCGAAGGGGTTGGACTCGAAGGCGTCAAAGTTGGCCTCGCCGGCGCCGGGGACGATGATGGAGGAGAAGCCCTGGTCGTGCCCGATGCCCAGGACGTCCTCGTAGGGGCACCACCTGACGCGCTCCACGCGACGGCCCTCGCCGCCCCACGCCATGTAGGGACTCTGCACCTTCTCCTGCACCGGCTTGTTCTTGTCGAACAGGCCCTTCCAGACGGTCGTCTGCGTGCCCCACCCGACCGCCGTCAGCCCCCGGTCCGAGATGGCCACCGAGTGCGCCGGCTGCCGCGTGAAGTAGCTGCTGACCTCCCGGAACATGCGGATGTCCCAGACGGCCATGCGCTGGTCCTGCCCCGTCGAGACCATGTACCGTCCCTCGCGGTCGACGGCCACCGACCGCACCGGTCCGCGGTGCGCCAGCAGCTTGACCAGCGGCTCTGAAGAGTTGGGCGACCACAGCGTCACCGTTCCGTTCTGGTGGCCCACGTGCAGGATGGCGTTGTACGGGTTCTGGCCCAGCGATACGGGCTGACCCAGTCGCGTCGGGATCTCGGCCACCAGGCCGCCGGTCGACACATCTTGGTACTTGAGCATACCGGTGGTGCCCTAGAGAGAAGAGTGGGTTAGCGAGAGATTGAGGAAGGGGAGAGAGAGAGAGAGAGGGGGAGGGAGGGAGAGAGAGAGAGAGAGAGAGAGAGAGAGAGAGAGAGGAGATCCGAAATCGCAGAGGCGGGGAGAACTTACAAGTGTCGCTAGCAGAAAGTGGTAGGGGAGAAATTCCATGTGCGTCACCTCCTGGTGCTTCCTCAGGCTGTGCAGCTCAACACCGTTCCTGTCGTAGATGAAGACGTACTTGCTCTGCGCCACGGCAAAGTACTGGTTGTTGTGGAGCCACTTGACGTCGCGGACCGTCTCGCCCAGCTGCAGCTCGCAACCCAGCTTTCCTTCCCTCCAGTCCATGGTGGCGATGTGACCCTTGCGTCCGCCCATGAGGAGCTCCCGCCCGTTCCTGGTGTAGTCGAATTGGTAGGGGCCGAGGGAGTCGAGCTTCAGCTCGAACCGCTTCTGCGCTGTCTCGACGGCGACATCGCTGACAATCTCGTCCTGCCGCACCTTGTACGTCCTCTCGAGCTCCGTCTCGGGTTCGAGGAAGCCGGCCGTGTTCTCGAGCAGGATCTCGGCATCCTTGGCCCTCAACGCGGCGCTCTGGTTCTTGTATTCGAGGCTCTTGAGATTCCTCCGCAGCTTCTTGTCCTTGATGTTCTTGGTATCGATCTTCTTGCCGCGCCCGTACGCCTTGTTGGCCTCCTTTAGCCGTCGAATCTTTTCGCGCTCATGGCGAGGGACCAGTTGGGTGCGGGTCTCGACGGGGACGGCACCCGTGCTCTGCACCTTTGTTATCGGTTCGTCAATTGTGTCAACTTCCATTTTTCTTTTTGTTGTTGTTGTTGGGGGGGGGGGTTGTCTTGTTTTGGGTAAACCAAAAACCAAAGAAACCAAAAATAAAAATAAAAATAAAAAAATAAAAAAAATAAAAACCTTTACCACGATCTGCCAAAATGCGCTTCAGTCTGGCCAAAATTTCTGGACGCCAAGAACCTTATCGGGATCGGCTGACTGGATAAGCCCAAGGGAAGAATCCACTATTATCGATAAGTTTCTCCCGCACCGAAAAAATTCCTGATAACCACAACAACCCCACCATCCATCATCCGGCTTCTCAAATGGTGTAAATGTGTGTGCTGGTTACCACAAGTCTCTACAAAAAAAATTAAAATCACTACTACTACTACTACTACTACTACTGCATACAAATCATAGGAGACAGAAGGCTACCTCTTTCTCAGAAGACCACACGATACATCGTACAACCTGGCTTCACTACCGTTTCGCTTCAAAGCAGGCAGTGACGGCAAGATGCCTGCCGCTGTGGCCCACTCGCACCGGCCGACAACCAAGGTCTCCCACAAGGCTTTCAAGGCCAAGGCTGCAACAAAGCATGAGCTGAGAGACAGGGCCAAAGGTCTGTTCTCTCTCTCTCTCTCTCCTTTTACATTCCGGGTTTTGAGACTTTCAAGCTGACGGGTTCTCATGAAAAGGCCGAGTACCCAACGAACGCGGAACGAGAAAGACCCCCCACCAACAAGTCATGTCTAAACTCGACCGACGCAACCAGGCCAAGCAGGCCCGCCTATCTAAGCACAAGGAGCATCTTAAGGATACGTCTATATTCACCGGGCGTGACGCTGCCCCTAGGATCGTCGCTGTTCTCCCGCTCTGCGCCGACGGTGACGCCAAGGCTGCCATCAAGCTTCTCAATGGCAGCGTCGACATCGAGACCGACCCCGACGACGCGACCAACCGAGTGACCGTCGACCGTTTCAAGCAGAAGATACAATACGTTCCCCTCGAGCGTGACCTTACGGCCTGTCTCGATGCCAGCCGCACCGCCGACTTCGTCGTCGTCGTCCTCTCAGCCTCGGTCGAGGTTGACGAACTGGGCGAGCTGATCCTGCGCAGCGTCGAGGGCCAGGGCATGTCGACCTTGTTCACCATGGTCCAGGGTCTGGATAAGGTTGAGCCCGCCAAGAACAGGCCAGGAGTCGTGGGATCTCTCAAGTCTTTCATCTCGCACTTCCACCCCGATCAGGAGAAGGTCTACAGCCTCGACAACAGGCAGGAGTGCTCCAATATGATGCGATCGCTGTGCAGCACGACGCCCAAGGGCATCAAGTGGCGCGAGGACAGGAGCTGGATGCTCGCCGACTCCATCCAGTTCGCCCACGGCGCGTCGGATACCACCGTCGTCACCGGTGTTGTCAGGGGAAGGGGCCTCAAGGCCGACCGCCTCGTTCAGCTGGGCGATTGGGGCACGTACGAGATCGAGAAGATCGTCTCGGCCCCCCTCCCTAAGACGGTCAGGAAGAAGGGTGTGGAGATGACGGCTGAGGAGGAGACCGAGAAGACTCTGGATGAGCCCACGGCCGACAAGGACGATCTGAACGAGCTCGCCCCTCACGACGTTGCCATGGATGACGAGGACGACGGCAACGATGACGCCATGTCGGTAGCCGCATCCGCTAAGAAGGGCGTCTTGCTGGATGATCACCACTACTTCTCAGATCCCGAGGAGGAGGCACGCAAGTCGACTGTCCGGAGGCTCCCCAAGGGCACATCCAAGTACCAGTCTGCCTGGTACCTGGACGACGTGTCCGACTCCGGCTCCGACCTGGAGGATGTCGACATGGGCGCCAACTACAACGACGCGTCTGATGACGAGGCCGGCCCCGAGGATGGCGTCGATGGCGAGGCCGGCCCCGAGCCCACCGAGGCCGGAGCCTCCGAGTATCCGCAGTCCGAGATGATGGAGGAGCCTGACGAGGACGAGGATGCTCAGCAGCTGGCAAGCTTCCGTGCCGGCCGCAAGAAGGATGAGGCCGAGGACGACAAGGAGTTCCCCGATGAGATTGAGCTGCACCCCAACGTCTCGGCACGTGAGAGGCTGGCGCGCTACCGTGGCCTCAAGAGTCTGCGGACAAGCAGGTGGAACGAGGACGAGGACCGGGCTCACGAGCCAGAGGACTGGAGGCGACTGCTACAGGTCCCCGACTATGCCGGGTCGCGGTCACGGTCGATGCGTGAGGCCCTCGTCGGAGGCGTGGCCCCGGGCACCAGGGTTCATGTCCACCTCAAGGGCGTGGCGCCGGAGCTGGAGAAGAAGTACAGACCGTCAGCCCCCGTGACACTCTTCTCGCTCCTGCGCCACGAGCACAAGAAGACGGCTGTCAACTACCTGTTCAACCTCGCGGCGGACCACGCGCGGTCCATCAAGTCAAAAGAAGAGCTGATTGTGCAGTGCGGCCCCCGCCGCTTCGTCGTCAACCCCATCCTCTCCCACCCGGGAACCACGCCCAACGACGTCCACAAGTTCTGTCGGTACATCCACCCTGGTCAGTCGGCCATTGCCACCTTCGTGGGCCCCGTCACCTGGGGATCCGTCCCTGTCCTCTTCTTCCAGAGGGCCTCGGCCGTGCCCCCGAACCCCAACCGGGAGGGGGGGAGGCCGACCAGCACGACCGGTCTCACGCTCGTCGGGACGGGAACGGCCCTGCCGCCTTCGACTTCCAGGGTCGTGGCCAAGCGCGTCATCCTCACGGGCCACCCGTACCACATTCACAAGAGGATCGTCACGGTGCGATACATGTTCTTCAGCCGCGACGACGTGGAGTGGTTCAAGGCCCTGCCGCTCTGGACCAAGAGGGGCCGCAGCGGATACATCAAGGAGCCCCTGGGTACGCACGGCTACTTCAAGGCGACGTTTGACGGGCACATCAACCCGCAGGATGCCGTAGGAGTGAGTCTGTATAAGAGGGTGTGGCCGCGCGAGGCAGTGCCGATTCGGGAGCCTCTACTAGTGTTGTCAGCGCAGCAGCAGCAGCAGCAGCAGCAGCAGCAGAACGACGAGGGAGACGTGGACATGAGCTAAAGGACGAAAAGAAGGGGCCAGAAGTGAAGATGAATGATTCAACGCCGTTATTACCACGAGTCTCTCTCTTTTTTTTTTTGGGGGGGGGGGTGTTGTTTCTTTGATTTACTATCCTTTTCATTTTCATTTACGCCAATTAACCTTTCTCTATACGAGTTATTAGAAGACAAAAAAAAAAAAAAGTCATGATGATTTACTTTCAAATTCGTACGCAACGCGCTAGGAAGTCGTCTATTTGGCGACGAGGCCCTCGAGGCCATCAGTAGGACGGGGACCACCCCTCGCCTTGCGCTCCTCCTCAGCGCCGCTAGCCTTCCACGCACTGACGATGAGGTTGACGATGTGATCGACGCCGACGCCCTTCTTGACCTGGGCGAAGACGGTGGGACCGCCCTCCCTCATCTTCCGAGCGTCCCTCTCCATGACGGACAGGTCGGCACCGACGATGTCGGCCAGGTCGGTCTTGTTGACGACGAGGAGGTCGCTCTGGGTGATGCCGGGCCCTCCCTTGCGGGGGATCTTGTCCCCGCCGCTGACGTCGATGACGTAGATGATGAAGTCGGCCAGCTCCCGGCTGTAGTTGGCGGCGAGGTTGTCCCCCCCGGACTCGATGAGGAGTAGGTCGGTGGAGAAGTCGCGGTGGAGGTCCTCGAGGGCGGCGAGGTTGGCGGATATGTCCTCCCGCACGGCGGCGTGGGGGCAGCCGCCCGTCTCGATGGCCCGGATCCGCTGGGGGGGTAGGGCGGAGTGGCGCGTCAGGAACTCGGCGTCCTCACGGGTGAAGATGTCGTTGGTCACGGCGGCGAGGGAGAATCTCTCACGTAGGGCGAGGCAGAGGGACAGCATCAGCGCTGTCTTTCCGGATCCGACGGGTCTAGGGTGGTATTATCCCGATTTTTGTCTTCTGTGAGCTTTTCTTCTTCTTCTCCTTCTTCTCCCTCTTCCACTTTCTTTCTTTCGAGTCTCTTCGTCCCCCTGATGAAAGTAAGGGGGAGGGGGAGGGGGTTTGGGATGTGCTTCTTTGTTAAGGGAGAAGAGGGGGGGGGGTTAAGATGCATCGTACCCTCCTATTCCAATGGTAAAGGCTCGGTCAGTCCAGTCTCGTCCCTCGATGATGGGCATCTCTCGGCCTAGATAGCTGCCTGGTCCGTCGAGGATTTCGTGAGAGTGGCCGTGCTCTTGGGCGTTGAAGCCGCCGTCGTGGGAGTGGGTGTGACCCGCATCTTCGTGGGAGTGGGAGTGTGACATGTTTTCCTTTTCTTCTTCTGCTTCTTTTCCTTTGGTGAGGGAGAAGCGATTAAGGGGATGTGTAAGAAAGGAAAGGAAAGGAAAGGAAAGCTTTTCTATGTTTGGCGTGACATAAGTCGGCGGCTTGTAAGTGCGGGGGAGGGGTAGTGTTTTTTTTTTTTGAGGGTATATTAATCTTGGATCGAGCTAGCCACAGCTCGTCGGATGAGCTGTTTTTATTGTTAAATTTTTAAATTTTTTTTTTTGCTTTTTCCTCTCTTTTCCCTTGTACTAATCCTATATTAGAAATTGCCCTCCACCATTGACTCCGTGTATACTGTATAATCTCATCTGCTCGTTCACATTCTCATATCATCGACGGACGCCGTAGGCTATTTGCTATTTGATTGTAGATGGAGGTTCTTGTTGGGAAAGCCACATGTATACCACTAGCATAAGGGATGACAAGCACTGACAGGGGGAGTTGATGGTAGCAGATAATGAGAGAGAGAGAGACGAGACGATAGCCTTGATAGTCACATGCAGTAGGCACGTGCATATGGCGATTTAAACAAACAAGAGTTGAACAGGAGAAAAAAGCCTACATCTTTTCTACTAGTGTTACATCGATAGCCCCCCCGGTCTTTGTTAATATACGTATACATGGCATATCTCTCTCGCATCCAGAGTTTCTGCCCTTCTTCTCTACCGCGACTCCGTCTCATCTCCCTCGCCGGCAACCTGGGCAACACCAGCATCCTCGAGCGAAGCGGCCTTGGACTGGGCTATGATCTCGCCGAGCTTGAGGAGCATGTCGTCGGAGAGCTCGGGCTCACCGCGGGCGGCCTTGGCCTCGCGCCTCTTGATGCCCAATTCCTCGCCGGGTGTGCGCATGGCGAGGAGCAGGTTGTGGCGACCCTTCTTGGCAGCGGCCTCCTCCTCCTTCTTGGCGACGTACCAGCCCTCGTGGCGGGTGCGGAACTTGGAGTACTTGTTGCGGAGCTCGTCGAGGGCCTGGGGCGGCATGGGCGGCGAGAGGAGGTTGTAGTAGAAGGAGCGGTCCTCGACCTGGTCGCGGGCCGTGTCGACGTCGTGCGTGACGAACTGGGGCACCTTGACCTCCGGCCAGGGTATCACGACGTTGATGCCGGGCACCACGCGGTCCCACTTGTTGCCGTGCTCCCACCTGTCCAGCGTCATGTTCTCCGACTGCATGTTGGGCGGCGTGGCCTTGAGCTGGTGGATGATGGTGTCCTTGGTCGTGCCGGTCGCCGGGTCCGGGAGGGGGTACACGAGGCGGATGGCGCCGATCGACATGGGCAGGGCCGTGAGCTGCTCCCTGTCTCCTATGGGGGTTTTGTGAAGGCCCTGGATTTAGGAACAAGTCAGTTAAACGCAGACCTTCTTCTTCTTCTTCTCTCTATCTTGCCGAATGTTCATTCTTGCTCTTTTGGGAGACGAGTAATGAGTATAAAAAAACTTTTCTGCTCTCACCTTGTTGTTCTCCATCAGGGTAACGGTACCGAGCTCCGAGTTGATGCTCTCGATCCGGTCCAGCTTTCCCCTGTCCCTGCCCTCGAGGATGACGATGCGGTCACCGACGGCCAAGTTGAGCTGGTGAGGGCTACCGGCCCACTCGCACCGCTTAGCCACCACGTGCGGCCTGATGCTGTGGACGCCGCTTCCGCTCTCGTGGGTCAGGCGCGTAGGCTCGGTGATGGTGCCGTAGACGTTGTAGCCGAGGTCGCGCTTGGGGGCGAGCGGTCCCATGACCCAGTCCTCATACCGGGCCTTGCGCGCGTCGCTCAGGTTCTGCCTGATCTCGTTGTTTGTCGACTTGAGCATGCGGACCATCTCCCAGCGCTGCGTGTTGCGGTGTCGTCGGATGGACTGGTGGGCTCGCCTACCGGCCTGGCGCTGGGCCTGAACCGTGCGCTTGACAAGTTTCTCCATGATGGGGGAGAAACAGGGAAAGAGGAATCTGGAGGATTTGGGGGGAGGGACGCCTGCGCCGTGTCGTGGTGCCGTACAATTGGGCGACTTCTTCTACGACGGTTGCTTCATCTCTCGAGAACGCTTAATCGAGGCCGAAATTCTCNTGGACTGGTGGGCTCGCCTACCGGCCTGGCGCTGGGCCTGAACCGTGCGCTTGACAAGTTTCTCCATGATGGGGGAGAAACAGGGAAAGAGGAATACGTCGGATTCCGGTGGAGGAGCGCCTGCGCCGTGTCGTGGTGCCGTACAATTGGGCGACTTCTTCTACGACGGTTGCTTCATCTCTCGAGAACGCTTAATCGAGGCCGAAATTCTCGTCGGTACGGGTTGTCGCATGTGCGAAATTGGAACATGTACTGTGTGTTTATACTGTACTGTCCCGGTGATGACACTATCCATCTCGCGTGTTGGAAGGCCAAGACGAGAAGCAATAGGGGTGGTAGGAAACATGATTGGGTATAAAGTAGTTCTTCGAGACAAGCCATCAATCTTAGGCGGTATTGCTCGAATTTACGGCCGATCAGTGACGGTACACAATCATCCTGCCGGGCGGCGGGAGGAGGAGAAGGTCGAGGTCAGCATTGATGTACGAGCACGAGTAGAGAGGCCAGGCCCTGGTGCTGCCATGCCTCGCTCTCTAAATACTAGTCCTTCCGCATTGGAAGTGAAGTATGGCCGGTGGAGAGCCTGTATATCACATGCAGACTTCAACCCGGACCTTCAATCCAAGGGTTTTCCATTAACCAGCGCGCAGGTTCGATTGGCAACGTTCCCACGCAAGTACTCGTGACATGCCGATGCATCCAAGGAGGGTGCACTGGGCGTGTACGACGAGTTTGGCAGAGGCTTGAAGAAGCTGATCCGGTGAGCTTACGGATGACCATGTAGCTTCGAATATGTCAACTATAGAGGCACGCACGGAGACGTCTCTGCGGACAACTGGCATGGCACTGGCATGGTCTTTCTGCAGCGTTGCCAAGCAACTGAAGACCTGGGCAATGTAGTATATAAGTCCGCATCGAACCTGGGGCTTGGAACGCGCAATCCTCACCAGCGACACGGTGCACACAATGGCACCCAGCACTAGATAGGGTGCCGACATGGCTGTCGAAGATGCAGAGGCCCTCAGACTCCTCGCGCAGCCGGACGTCCGATCTGAGGATGTGCCCAGCCGTCCTTTGGAAGATTGACGCCGTACGCAGGCCGAGGACTACCCAGGTTCCCGAGACTGACAGAGCTTCGGTGGGGCGGGCCAGCGCGGACAAGATCTTTGGGAGGATGTGCCAGCACATGAAGTACGATGACATCTAGAGTGAGCTTTGCAAGGGTGGAAGGAGGAGGCACAATGGAGTAGAACTACATTTTAGGAAGTCACGTGCTCCAAAATCCACGCCTTCTTATCACGGCGCAGAGGCGGACTTCTGTATCCTCTATTGAGCGTTTTCGAAATTTGTCGTCGGATTGGAGAATAATGCATAGTTTAGTTGGACTACGTCTTCTTTCCATATCGAGCGTCGATCAGAGCAAGCGGGCGAAGGTTGGAAAAGCTGAAACACGCGGCAACACGGTCAAAATCTCCTTTCTTCTCTGTTGGTCTCACTCGTCTGCGGTGCTTCTTCAGCCTGCTCTAGGAACAAGGCGATTGGACTAGGGGTCGGGGTGATAGTGTCGTCCAAGAAAAGACAACCAATATTAACACCATTCGTATCAAAAATAGATGAAGATTGGACGCAAATGGCCAAGGCAAGCTTTTCCTTCTTATTTGTTCTTGTTTTTGTCTACAGATGAGGTCACGCCACCGTCTGATCGAGAGAGAGAGAGAGAGGTAGAGGTAGATACAAGGTCCAGCCCGCTAGTACGATAACGGCTGGTAGCAGAGCTGGTATTATTACTAGTAGTATTACGACGAGTACATATGGTAATAGCAGTGATAGTACGAGATGGAAAGCTGGTAGCCAGAACCGGTAAACATCAAAAGGAGGCTCAGCCCATAACAGAGAGGCTGATGGGCGGTGGCGCGTCGGCTGTTTGAAATCTGGGGCCAGCCCAGCCATCCTCCCAGTTGGAAGAAGGCGAAGAGGCAAAAAAAAAAAAAAAAAAAAAAAAAAAAAAAAAAAAAAACAGGATCCATCAGGTCTCTGTGGCGCAGTGAGACAACCTGTCTGGGTAGGTCGCACGTCTCGCAGTGATGGAAATGCTGGTAGTTGTTGACCTGACCATTGCTACTCATCTCTTACTGGTATCAAGGCGCGGTGAAGGACGGGAGTAGTCACGGGTAATATATTATACAGGGTGTAATCTGTACTCCGTATCGAGACTGCAAGTCGAGACTACCAGTCAAGTAATCCGTGCCGTAGGACTGGTATTAAATGATGCCTGTTGACGAGTACTGTCACATTTCAGCTTGAATTACGAATTACCTGTAGGACTCGGTATCGTCTGCTAGTCGAGTCTCAAAGCACGCTGTTACTTGGGAGAGTTGCGTGTACGTAGTCGTACAGTGTAGCACGGAGTAGTATTGCTACGGTATTATTACGAGTAACGCATGATGTACCAGAGATATGTACCCCGTACAGACGGCCCCGGGGAGGTAGGGGGACTCTGCCCGTCCAGAGTGTGCTGTCAGCACTGATACGAACAGTTCATAGGTCGTATGCGCGTCCATCTCCATGCAGTATTATATCTATTACCTGTATGTACGGAGTACTCAGGCAGCCATACGAGCAGAGCAAATGTGCAGGGACCTGGACCAACAAACAAGCACGAGCAAGAGTAGCATGGAAGTACCTGGGGGCACTAGTAGGCCGTAGTGGCAGAGAGTATCACGGAGTACGGAGCGATAATAATAATAATGGGCACGGGGCAGGCTCGGCAGCTGGCTGGTGCCTCTAGTAGCGCTGTAGCAGTGCACTCGCCTGTACCTGTCTGTATCCGTAGGCGGTACGGAGTACCGACAATCCATACAAGGGCCCCCTTCGACGAGAGAAAGAGGGACTAGGCCAGAGACTCGGGAGAGAGAGGGAGGGAGGGAGGGAGAGAGATAATACGGAGTTAATCCACGGACCAATCTGCAGGTACATGAGTGGTTGGGGCGACAGAGAGACCAACACCCCCGGGGCACGTATACTTTGTATGTACGGATACCGGCTCTGCTACCCAGAGTGCTACCCGAAGTCCAACCCTGTGTCATTCGTACCTGCTGTTAACACTCGGCTGCGAGGTCAGTACATGCGAGTACGAGTATCACCCGGCGACGTGAACAGCATTGAGGATGATGTATGGAGTGGTGTACATGTATTATGTACTCGACATTGATAACGATTGTGCACTTTCATTTCCTACATGTAATGTCATCATCACCACCGCCACCACCACCACCACCCCCCAACCCCATGACCACACCGTTCCTTCCTTTTTTTTTCTAACCTGTTTATCAGGCACAGACGGATAGTGCACCAGTAAGCAGCAGCAACGGCAGCACGGGTAGCAAACGGCCATCGTTTCATCACGTTTGCGACGGGGAGAGGAGACGGATGGAGGGACAGCTGCCAGCACAGGTAGCAGAGCAACACTGATGGATCGATTGGTTGGTTGGTTGACTATCATTACTACAGGTACAGTTGTAGTGGTATTGTCCGGGAGATCATATCGATGACATTGTAATCCGTACTCGTAACACCCTGAGTCCTGACGGGTCCCTGTGTCCAGGCCCACCGGTAGCAAGCGGCACGTCACTGGGTGGAGAGGGCGATGGAGAGGACGCGACGTCGTTGCGGTGACTGATTGCAGGGCCCTGTAATACTGCAACGAGTAGCGGTGCGTCAGTACTGTAGTAAGTACAGATCATTACTAGAGCAGCACGCTCCGTGTTTGGCTGCAATAGCAATACCCGTCACGCTGGCCGGTACCTAGCAGGCAGTCCTACAGCGTGGCCGGTACGACCCCCCAGCATATTTTTCCTCTCATGCCCAGCAACAACCGGACGGCCGCCGCCCCTCAGCTCAGCTGGGCCCGGCCTGCCCTTCTCCTCCCATGCTTTCTCTGACGGTGGCCTCCGCTGTTTTGTTGTCAGTGGTTGTTGTGTGACTCTCGTTCTCACTCTCCTCACTCTCTCCCCCTCCCCTTTTGAATCGGTCGCGCACCGCTCTCCATCCCTCTCCCCCGGTCAATGCCTACTGGCTGGCTGGTGAGATTGTATGAGCTGGGACTAGGTACCTGCGATGGCGCTGGGCTCTCGTTTTCTTCTTTCTTTTCTTTTCTCTTGTCGTCCCGTTCCGTTTAGGTAGCAGAAGCACTGGACTCCTTCCACTGTACCCGAGTACACAAACACTGTAATCCGTACTCTGACCTAGGCACACCCGGCGAATACAAGGGCACTGTGAATCGTAGCCTCCACTGTAATAGCACCCCTCCCCCAATATGTAACCGGTACCTAGAGACAATGCTCCGTCAAAATCTAGGTCCTTACTGGTTGGTCAGGTCACCCTT